TTAGCCTCTATTATTACAAAAAATTTCACTGTATTACTACCCTTATCTGCTATCGTAAAGCACTTTCTTATATCGAGCTTTTTTCTTCCAGTTATTAGCAACTTTGATTACTTTAAATTGTGAGGTAGAGGTAGACAGAAGGACAGAAAGAAGCGGATTAAGCAATAGAACGATCCTAACAAGATTAAAATTTAAAAAATTGAGTTTTCTCAAGAAATTAAAATTTAATTTTCCACTGACCTCATATGATGTTTCGCCAATACAGACACAGGAATAGTTCAATCAGTCTTTAGATTGAAATTAAGGAAACAACTTTCACTCAACTGTCGGACAATAAGCAGACGAATAAGAATAAGAATAAAAAACACAAAATCACAATCGTTTATCCCCAAAATCGACATAATCCTCCCAAAAGGTTTGAACTCTTTGCTTTTTTCAGCCTTTCAGAGTTTTGGCGTCCCAAAAAAATTATTTCTTTGTTTTTCAAAAATTAAGAAACGAGGAGTCCACCACTGTTACAAGTTTTGGGCATCAGCAGGGCTTTGTTTAACTGCACTGTTAATCATTATATTTATGTTCTATTTTGTACAACTAGTATTCCGTCTAATATTACAATATTACATTCTTCAAAACCAATGCTCTTGACACGAAAATTTTTTAAAACTGGGCAAATACAATCGTAATCGCATTGTTTTATTCGATTTGAGCTCAAATTTTATTTCGAAGTAACAGGTAGTTTCATAAAAATTTTCAAAAAAAACGTTCGACAGATTATAAAAGCAATTCACATCGATTGCTCATGCAAATTTACTACTATTTGCTTGTGTCTTTAGTGCTTCTTTAAATGGAAAGCAACGGGTGTACTAAAAACTTTTTTTATACAGTACGTTTACAAACTTTTGTACAGCCTATCTTTATCTCAATTTCCACTATTAACGACAACAGATAAATCAAGGAATCGAACATTTTTATAGCATAAAATTCTAGAATTAGTCTAGACCATCTAAACTGACTAGTATAAACAGTGCACTTAAATTACTGTGGACGCAGAATTAACAAAATTTGGCACGTTTCTTCTTAAAACCAGGTTATTTCTTCTCTCCTTCACTGAAATGCATTCTTGTAACACGCTACTGTTCTAAGCGGTTCTTCGTTTTCCAGTTTACGTCAGCCCTATCCAGGAAGGTGGAAAATATTCTTCTTTTATCACTTCATTATCAAGTTTGGTACCTTTTTTCGGCCAGTCATTGTAATACAGAACCTCTCCACCAGCCAAGTAACCAATCCACCAGGAGAAGGTACCAACAGTTGCTATAGTGTGATTGCAGACTGCAAGTGTTGCCATATGTATCTCTCGAGGACCACGAGGT